CATTTTAATAAATGAAGAGAAATTTTTGTCCGAAAATAGTTCGCACTATTTATACATGTTGTGGTGCTTACTTTTGTATAAATTTATAATTGTAGTCAAATTAAATTGTATTCTTAGTTGCATAGCGTCCAATGAGTATCAGTAACTTTATCCTATATATATAATAAAGTGGGAAAGCGACGAACTCAATTAGATTAGTTGTGTCGAACTCGAAGACTAGTTAAGGTATTTGATATGCAAGTGTGGTAATTGATCAAAATAGTTAAGTTCAGCTAATTTTTTATGTTGTTTGAATGAATTGATTATGGACCAACATGTTATAAATAGGCAAATTCGAACTCCATGATCAGGCAATTTGAATACTATATAGGAACAATAAATAAAGTTGCATGAGAAAGAACAAATTTAAAATTTCAAAGTTGATTCAAGGAATGAATACTAAAACCGAATCAAACTTGTGAAATTTAAACTTCACTCTTAAAATAATAATGGAGGGTATTATTATTGTTTAGTTGAAGAGAGACTGAAAAGAAATTAGGGTTTGAATGGAGGAAGAAGAAGAAGTAGGGAAATTGGGCGATATCTAAAATTTGTTTATACTTTTATTTGGAGAATGTGGGTTTTTAAGGTTTAAGATTTAAGATTTTATTTATTTATTTATTTATTAATATATACATATTTTTACATGGTTCTGGCGAAAGAGGTACAACACAGAAGTCTAGAGGACAATAGAGGAATTTAGCTCCTTTTTATTATAAATTCATAATCTACTATAAAAACTATTTTAATAAGCTATAATAAATCAAATCAAACTTGCTAATCTAACAGTTATTTTTTCCTTTTAAAAAAATATATAAATGGTATTGATAATATAATAACGAAACCAGGTATATCTGGGTATTCTAGGATGCCCTTTTGAAACACAGAGTTTCCAAGATTCTCGTGTTGAGGACATACAATTTTTACATTTTTGTCCTCCATTCTTTTCTCCATATATTTTCTTTCATCAAAATTTTTTTAAATTTTTCCTCAAAAAAATCTTTATTTTTATTTTTAAATTTATAATTAAAATAAATTAATATACTCATCGTTTAATAAATAACTTTATACTATTAAGTATATTTGTACATTAGATTTATAGGTAAAATAAGTTACAATTAAATTATATAATATCTCCATTTATTTTTAATATTTTGAAAGAATTAAATTATTAATAATATTTATTATCATAAATATATAATTGTAAAACAATATTTTTTTACAGTCAATATACCTGTGATCTTTTCCCTCTTAAAAACAATATATAATGTGATGATAGAATAAAAAAATTCCACCCAAAGTAACATAAATTATATAATTGTACTTTTGAGAAATTAGTTGAAAATGAAACTTATATTAAATTAATAATGAATTAATTTGTTATGAAAAAAAGCATATAAAAAATAAAAATATTAAATTAATTCAAATAAATCTATTATATTAGATGAATTTATAAATTATATAAATATTTGTGAGAGCATTTATGGAACATCTATAAATTTAACATATTCCTAAGAATAAATCTGTAAAACAAACGTGGCTATTCAAATATTATTGGATATACTTAAAAATCTACCTACCAACAAACGTGGTTATCTGAAGATGTCGGACATCTAAAATTTCCGATCTGACGCACCTGAGGGAAATGTTTCATCATCGCTCCTACTTATTGTTTCAATTAAAAAACTTTATTTTAATTGAGACTTTTTTTAGCCCATAACGCACAAAGAGATTTACTTCCCCTTATTTTCACGCATATTCTCACCTACTACACCTTTCGTGTAGCCTATAAATAAGTAATGGGTGCGATTTTAGACTACATATCACATGGGAGTGGTTGTATGGCAAATGGGAAAGTGAGCAAAATAATCAAATCGTTTATACACAAAAGTACATCCATTAGAGGTTTTTGTTCTTTCTTTTATAAACTAATTTATAAACTAGTTTGTCGATGCATACCTAGGCCGACCAATTAGTGTAGTTAACTGGTTAAGGTACATACTCTTACTACCAAAAAGTTAAATAATAATACATATGCATACTTGACTCATAGATCGAATTCAATTAATATAGTTCAATTGGTTAAAACATATATTATCTACCAACAAAAAGTTAAATAATCCATATATGCTTAAAGCATATACCCTCAGACCACTAAAAAGTCAAATAATGTACCTACATAATTGGCCTCAGATGTGGTAGTTATAGGATTAACTAATGTGAAGCTGGTTAATTGTTCAAGATTTGCACAAAACGTTGCCTTAGCAGTAAGTAAAATCAAACAATATTAGATTCGTGTACTCATAACTAGATGATCCGTTGAAATTGTAATTACTTTGAGTCTATAATAGGGTTAGGAGAGACGAGGTATTTGAGATCTATCAAAATAGTTTAGTTAAGCTAATTTGTTATGTTGTTTAAACAATGTATCACCATCAATTGATTATCAACAAATAATAGGTAAATTCAAGCTCATACAATCTCCATCATATAGAGAGGTAATTTGAACATCATCCAGGGACAATAAATATATCACATCAAATAAAAAGAAAAAATAAAGTTCCATGAGAAAGACCAAAATTCAAAATTCAAAAGTTGATTCAAGGAATGAATACTAAAACTGAAACCAAACTTTCTGAAATTTAAACTTTACTCTTAAATTATAAAAAAGTTGAATTTCCAAATTTAGTTAAAAACAAAAATAAAATCGAACACCGAACCGGTGCCGTGACGGTGACCACGAGGTGGGGCCCACTTACCGCCACGCTCCACTCAAAATAGAGTTCCGTACAATTATACAGTTTCGAAATTTCTAAATCTCCTCCCTCCCTTTCTTTCTCTCTCCGGTTTCAAGAACGGAAAAGAAAATTTCAATTTCAAACTGACAAAATTCAATACGAAAAAGAAAGCACATGGATTTCACCATTGAATTAAAAAAATTTTGAATTCATAAGATATCAGTAAAAGCAGATATGAACCTAGAACTAATAATCACAGCAGATCAATCCAGAAAGAATGAAAAAAGGGGGGAAATCAAGAAAATTCAGTTCTGAGGATTACATATCATAGCTGCACTTGGTGGTCTCGAACACACCATTTGAAGAAGTACCATTCGATCTCAAAGGCACCTTCAATGGACATTTGATCTTCAGTTTGTAGCGCCCAAATTTCACCCAACCGAACTTTAATCTGATCCGCGAGTAAAGCTTCACATCGATGCTGTAAATCCCGGAGCTCTTCTCCGAATTAAACGACGAAACTCCATCCGTTCCTAGCAGAACAATCTTCTGTCCAACAAACGAAGGACTCAGCAGACTGGTGTTCTTGTGTCCCTGGTAAAACTGGCTCAAATTCACCGTACCGAACCGCTGCGCTTGATAGTAAGCATCAGCCTCGATGTCGTCGTAGTAGATCCCGATCCTCCGATTCGGATTCCTGACGGTGATATTGATGGCGAGATTATAATGGAGGTTATTGTTCGTAGTGGTGAAATTGAACTGCGTGAGGGAGGCGTCGGTGGCGTGGAATTTGAGGAGATTGGGACGGAAAATCAGCCACAAGAGGAGCACAGCAATGCCGACGACAATCACAAGGGTGATGATGATTTGGCAGATGAGATTGAAGATACAGCCGCAGCAGCAGTTGAAGAGGCAGCCGAGACAGCCGCAGCAGCCGCAGCCGCAGCCGCCGCCGCGGCCGTGGCGGTGGTAGGTCTTGGCAGGAGGAGGAATAGAAGGCCCATAGTAGGCTCCATTGAGGTGAGGCTGATTGGTCGCCATAGTTGAAGAGAGAGCGAGAAGAAATTAGGGTTTGAATGGAGGAAGAAGGAGAGGGGGGAAATTGGGGGAATATAAAATTAGGGTTCGAAGGATGGTTCTGCGAAACAGCGTAACCGCGGAGGAGAAGAAGGGAGAATCTTGAGGGGATTGCCTTCCTCGGCTGCAATTTTCAATTTAATTTCGGCGATATCTAAACTTCTTTTAAGTTTACTTTTGAAAAAACTATTTTCAAAGCCCATTTGTTTTTCTAGGGTAAACTCGGAAGTCATTTTCGAGATTATTAAATATATATATATAAATGAGTAGTGGAGATTCAAACCAATTCAAACTCCCTTCACTGGTTGTGGTTGGGTTTCGCTATGATCAGTTGACTATTAAAATAATTATAATGTAGTTTTTTTTTTTTAATCTCATCAATTATATCATTAAAAAAAATATATTTGTGATGTTTACTTCCAGAATTATTCGCATCACACTTGATTATCTAATATTATTATGAGCATGATAATTGGTACACTAAAAGCATGGATGGACCGAACTGTCTAATGACGTTCTGAACTCAGTTCATGTCCCGCTTTAATGGACAAACATCTTTTTTCACAAATGTCACATTTTTGTGAAAAATCATTATGTAGGGATATGTTGATACTTGTGACTCATTTTGTAAAATAGTATTTCTAAAAAATAATCATAATATATATATATTTATTTATTTATTTTACTGAACCTTATTGCTTATGTATACCAATAGTGTTGGTCATATACTAGACCAGCACTATAGTTCTAGTACACAAATATTCATGGCCTTCAAATTCGAGTAGAAATTATTCAAACCAATTTAATCAAAAAAAAAAAAAAGGAAACATATAAAAGAATATATGAAGCGAGCCTCCAAAGAACATTGCAAGAAAAAGTTAATCCCCAAACTTCATCATGTAGATAAAACCAGCAATCCAATTCAGTGTATACAAAGAATCTAATTTGATGTTGTATAAAAGATTGAGGGTGTCAAAAAATAGAGAGTTCTTAGCAGCACATACATCAATCACACCCTCATGTAATTTTCTAACACTATGGATCGTTTTCCTAAAGTTGGCACTTTGAAAAACCAGATTATATGGAATGCCCATTTCAGCATTTACAATTGGGAGTTATGAGAGAAGAGAAAAAAATGAAAGAACAAAACCAAAAATTGCTACTTTTTATGAACAAAATCATATTTCTTCAAACCCTTCTTCATCTCCTTCGCTTTCAATCCTCTCACATTCCTTCTTCCAGTTCTCCATCTGAGGATGATTATAGTTTCACATAATCAGTCACTAATTAAGAAAATGAAGTGAAACTCATCTATGTGAAGTTATAGATCAAATCATTAACAACTATAAGACTAATTAATTACACATAATAACTCAAAGGACCACTTCCAAAGAGTCCCTTTACCTCTTTTGTCAGAAAATCTTAATTGTTCTGCAAAAAATGGAATGTTCTTGTAGGGTCCTGGTAACATTTTCTTGCCTAATCTTGTTGCAACTTTCTCGAGGTCGACCGTTTCGACCCGAAATCCGTTTTCCATAAAAAATTTGTCGATCCACTTTGCCATACTCGTGCTAGACTGTGATGGTGTAATCAAGCAAAATGGTATGGTAGCATGTTTAGAGATCAAGGCAGAGAAGCAAATGAAAAGGCAGATCAAAGCAAACTAACCTTGGAAGTAATGTTAGTATCAGTCAACCAAGAAGGAAATTCACCCAAGAAAAAACTTCCTTTCATGGCCATGTTACTAACAATGGACAGAACATCTCCAAATTCTACCAAAGTCTTAATAGGCAGTCCCTGAAATACAATAACCAAAACCACTGCTCAACTCAGAAACTTATTTCGTTTGCTCTGTAAAGTGTAAACAAGAGTTTACCTGCATTGCCCATACACTCGGTCGGTCGCCCCGAAAACCTTTGGTGCAGAGTTCTTGCTGTATATCTTGGGACTCCAATGGGACATGATAGAAAGAGTTGCCTTTTGGAATCTTAGCCCCATTGACTATCATTAATTTCAAGAAACATCGCAGATCATATTCAAGAATGGACTTCAAGAATCATATATCTGCAATGAACTTCATGAACACAAATAACAACTTGGAGAAAACATACCTTGCAGATCTTGATTCGCTCTTTTGAAAACAATGTCCGGGGATATGTCGATTATTCTCGTCCACATGGGCCAATGAAGCCTGTACGGTCGAGTATCCATTCCATCTGTTAGCAACACAACCTGCACATATAAGAAGAATGTTTAAAAAGAAACTGATGAGTTTATTAAGTTCTGAGTTCTGAGTTCTTTCTTTTAATTGCTTGCTAATACCTGCTCAAGTCCATTAACGTGGTGGACAATTTGAAGCAACTTATCATCTATGAACTTAGTTGCAACACAATAGTGATGAGAGAATTGCTGAATCTTTAGCTGAGGAGAAACCAAGCAGCCGGCATATTGATCAACAAAAAGGGGATCTGCATACAATCATCTCTTTCATTCATATAAAATCAACCACAGGAAAAAAAAAAAAAAAGTCTATGACGAAATGGGTTCTTGATGATCAAAGATCCAATGTGACGAATGGGGAGTAAATTGCTCGACATGCTAATCTTTCTAAGTGCACACCAAAGTGTTCGACGAAATGCCTGACCGATAACAGAGATAAATTGGACATACTCGGTTGACGGGACTCAATGAAACGAAGAGATGCAGCCTTTTTCGCCTTGAAGATCAAGGATTCCTCGTCTTCGCTGAGATGTGCTCTGAGAATGCGAACTTGGTTCTTGGAGCGTAGTGATGCCGAGCCAAAAAGCAGAGTCGTGGGGGAAACTATTCTGGGTCTCGAAAAACTCCCCGTGGAAGCCATGCAACTAGAAAGAAATTTTGCAGGTGAAGAACACTGAATATGATCTAGCTTCCCGTACGTTTGCTTCGTTTATTATTGTAGATTCAGTTTCATGGGAAGCCCAAGATCACACGCGGCTTCGCCCCTGTTCAGTTTCTTCTGTTACAATCGGTTTTTTCTCTGTATTCTTTCAACTGATATTTGTTGCTCTGCAAATACTTCTTATCAGTTACAATCAGTTTCCTCTTTTCTTTATCATTTTACATTTATTTAAACCTTAAAAAAAGTGTTTCCGCTCTACTATAGCCTACATTAATTTTTTTTTATTGGTACTTTTCTTAATTAGTGTTATGTAAATGAAATTAAATAGACACCTTTCGAGTTATGATTTAGTTTCTATTTGGCTATAAATTTAAGAAATATTATTTGAATTTTGATCAATTTTAAAGTATAAAAGACAGCATGTTTTATGCAGTATCGAAATTGAGTCAATCAATTGTTACGTCATTACTCAACTAATTATCGACCCAAATCAACAACCAATTATAGACTGAATTCAGTCCTTAATAAATAAAAAGAAAACTAAAATTAAACTTCATGAACCAATGAAAAACAAAATTCATACTACATGATCAAATATGTCACTTTTAAAATTTAAAATCCAAATAAGACCAAAAGTGAAAAGATTTTGTAAATTTGTAGACTAAATAGAAACAACTGCAAACAAGGGATCATAATGTATTTAAACCAAACTTATAATTTAAATTGTAACCTTTGTATTTTGTTTGATTATTGAATTTTTATTTTCCCCGTCATCTTTAAGAAAATTACCCAAGTTGAAGCGATGGGCCGATGATGTATGGGCCTGGGCCTGGGCCGTGGTTGCGTAGTTTTCTTCTCAATTTGTCCGTGATGTCTGGCAGTGGCACCATTTTTGGATATTTGAAGATAGATAGAACTTATCCTCTGAAATTCTGTTCCTCACCACTTCTCAGATTCCCTCTCCTTCCCCAATGCAAGTTCGCTTTCAGAAAATGTAGTTCCTCCAAAACCATGCAATTGCTACTGCAAGACGGAGCTCTCCAATTTCTCTCCAATGGCAGATTCAAATTCATCCACTCTTCTCCTTCCCCATTTTTCCCCTCAATTTCCCGCTCCTCCACTACCCTCCAACAATT